GGGGTTTAGGGTTTAGGGTTTATAATAGCGTTTCATTAAGGAATCTTAGGCAACGCTATTGGTAGGTATTCATGTGATGTAGCTGGCAGTGATCCCGGGGCACAAGGGCACGAGGGTGACCGTGAACCCCAGACCCCGAAGTCCTATAAACCCTAAACCATCAACCCTAAATCCTAGACCCTACGCCCCAACACCCAAACCCTACACCCCAAACCCTGAACCCCAAACCCTGTATCCCAGACCCCAAGACCTAGACCCTACATCCCAAAATGTACACCCCGGTCGCGGGTGTGCCAAGATGCCTCCAACCTAGGAATACGACGAGAGGGAGGATGCGATCAAGAAGTCGCACTCTGAGGGTTTAGGGTTCAGGATGCGTTGCGCCAGTCTTGCAGTGAATCTTCAGCTGGAGGTGAGTTCAACACGCTTCGACTCGCAATCGGCTTTCAGGAAGTCTCGTGCTTCGCGTAGCTCCATGCAGCTAGATTTGATGTCCAGACCCAGTTGCAGCCACTGCTCTGTATTCATGTATGGCTAGTAGTGATTTCAGAAGTAGTGGAATCCTAAGACCTATGCATTGCTACTGGACCTAGGACCTAGTTTCAGATCGCGCATTTCACTGGTATGTTTTTTCAATCTACCTGCGCCAAGGGGCTATCCAGATCCGACCGAGGTAAAGCAAGTCCGGGACCCTGAGATGTCGAACATGACATCGCTCAGAGTTGCAGGGTGTGAGGTGGGGGATCTGAGTTTGGACGCCCAGGAGCATAAAGTTGGAATGCAGATCTGAGGATTACGGACTCTCTATATATATATATATGTTTACACATGTACATATATATATATATATAACACAAATCTAAATAAATATAAAAAGAAATAAAGATAAGTGTATATATATATATATATATCAAGAGGGGATCATCGACCGTAACAGTAGACACTTCAGGTTCCTTGACTTCTTAAGTGTGTTGCTTTTCCAGGGGTCTCTGACAAAACCTCGAAGCTTAGGGTTTTAAGGGGTCTAGGGTTTAGCTAAATTGGGGAACCGTAGGCCCGTGAATTTCAACCCTTTAGGGTTTAGGGTTCAGTGTTTAGGGTTTGGGGTATAGGGTTTAGGGTTTAGGGTACCCTAAACCCTAAACCCTAAACCCTAAACACTGAACCCTAAACCCGTATAGGGTTGAGGGTTGAGGGTTTAGGGTTTGGAGATTTTGTGCCTTTACTGTGGGCTGGGCTGCAGACTTCCGGCTTTCCCACCGACTTTGGGAGATGTGGAGACGGAGTGAGAGTAGGGTTTAGGGTTTAGGGTTTAGGGTTTAGGGTTTAGGGTTTAGGGTTTAGGGTTTAGGGTTTAGGGTTTAGGGTTTAGGGTTTAGGGTTTAGGGTTTAGGGGTCTGGGCTTCGGATAGCTGAGTCTGAAGCTGCAGCGAGATCTTTTGTTGCAATCAGGGAGCAGGATTGAGAGGGACCCTTTTCAAACTTCAGTGCGAGGAAGTGGGTTTTGGACTGTGTGGGTGTGTTCCTTTCACTCCAAAACATGCCGATCGTCCGATGTCGTTGGTGAAGTTCCGAAGCACCCGAATACCGAAGTCCTAAAATCTCTAAGCCTCTAAGCGCGCAACACCTGAAGCCCCAGACCGTAAAGTATAAGCCCAAACACCGAAAGCCGAAAGCCTAAATAAAATCATGCGATGCCCTGAGCTGAGGAGGAAGAAGTCGAGGCGGCAGAAGGCGGTACCGCAGCCAAGAAGAAAAAGAAGAATAAGAAGAAGAAGGCACAACAGCTGAAGCTTACCGTGATTGGTACCGTTACTACCAATGAAGGTTACTTACTGCATACGGTGAGGGTACCATAAGGGCTACGTACTACAAAAGGTTACATACGTGGCAGCCTGAGGGCCTTCCAGCGAGATAGTATAAGAGTTACTGTCAGGGTTGCTATGAGGGCTACGATTGTTATTGCTGATGCGAATATTGCTGCGATTACCATTACCATTACCGGTACCATTACCATTGCCGTTATGATGACCATCACCATTACCAAAGCTCTTACGCTATTAAATGCTATTACTGCTATCACTATCGTAAGGCTATAGTCAGGGCTGCGGTGCTGGTGGTGGTGGAGCCGCTTTGTCTGGTGCTGGTCGCAGTTGTTGCTATTGTTGTTGTGATGGTGACGGGTTTCTGTTCTGGCGTGTCCGGTACTTCTTCTTCTTCTTCTTTGTACTACCTCTGGTGTTCAATGCCGTCATGTGATGCAATATAGGGGCCGTCATAGTGCGCACGAGAATATGCCCGAAATCTCTGTTGACAATCATTAGTGCCGCGGTATTCTGCCATAGCAAAGCCTTTTGGAACCTTTCTAGAACCCATTGCCTTGTAGTAACCCATATAGTAACCCTTATAGAACCCTTTATAGGATACCCGACAGGAACCCTATTCCGATTCTCAAGGCCTGTATATTAGGCTTGTTGGATGGCTTGGTGAGACGGGAACCCTAAACCCTAAACCCGAAACCCTTAAGCCTAAACCCTAAACCCGAAACCCTAAACCCTAAACCCGAAACCCTAAACCCTAAACCCTAATCCGAAACCCTAAACCGTGAACCCTGAACCCTAAACCCGAAAGCCAGGACCCCGCAGCGGGGGATGGAGCGCAGGATGAAGATGTCGGGACCCTGCGAGTCGGGTTTAGGGTTCAAGGCTTAGCTGCTTCAAGGTGTGCGGTTTGAGGGTTTAGGGTTTAGGGTTTAGGGTTTAGGGTTTATGGGTTAGAGTTGAATATAGGGGTCTAAATAATTAGCGATACTACTTTGGGGGTTCCTTATTATCATTATAGTATAATGGCCTCGGAACCCTATTCTAGTTATTAAGGCCCCTACATTAGGGCTTAAAGGGTGTAGGGTGTGGGGTTTACGGATCAGGCCGTAGGGTGTTGGGGTGTAGGGCAAAAGTGTTTAGGGACTGAGGTGCAGTGCAGGAAACCCCTCGAAATCTCTGAACCCCAAGCCAGAAAATCCAAATCCTAAAGCTCCAATCCTTAAATCGGTTTAGGTTTTTGGGATACAGGCTTTGAGGTTTTGGGTTTAAGTTTTAGGGTTCACCTACTCCCAAAGCAGCGTCACAGCACCCGAGGTCCCGGCAAGTACAGAAGCTGGAGCTCCTGATTCACCCAATGCTGCGCAAGAAAGCGATGAGGCAGGGGGTTTAGGCTTAATCTGGGTTCGGCGGCATAGGGTTTAAGGTTTAGGCCGGCGCGGATGATTTCTTAACAGATTGGGCCTCCTTGTGGAGATTCTGTTCCGGCGGTGCTCAGAACGAATGGCGAGTTGGCCCAAATGCTGAATGATTGGGACAAGCTTGTGCTATAAAAGCTGTGCCTGCTCGTTCAATGCACCGAGTTGCCCCTACTCACTATACTATCATAGCCCTTGTTATGAAATCCTGAACTCTCTCTGAACGTTGAGTTTGAGGCGCCAAACACCCTGAAAGAGCCGTGGCATCAGAAACTGGGGGTGCCTTACGGACAGCCTCTCTGCAGCAATCCGTAAACCCTTGTGACACCCTACTCGTACTTCTGAAGCCCTCATAGGATCCTTGTGTCGACCCCGTAGTAGGAACTTTTACGGAACCCTTGAGGCCCTTGAAGAACTGCACACAGCCAGCTGTGGCCCGAAGAATTGCTGAGGAGGACAAGGCGGATGCAGCAGACGGCGCAGGAGATAAGAAGAAGAAAAAGAAGAAGAAGAAGGTCGGCCCACTTTAGGCTTCAGGGTTTCGGGTTTAGGGTATAGGGTTCAGGGTTTGGGCGGGGGGTAAAGGGGAGGGGCTTCTTGAGGTCTTGCGGTTTAGAGCTCAGGATGTGGGGTTTGGTGGTTTACTAAGGATCATGGAACTTAGTAAGTCGGGTTATAACTAGGGTAACTGTACTTATAGCCCCATTAAGGGACTTACAACCTCACTTACTAAGTCCCATGATCCTCGAAGTAGGCCTTCGGGGTGTTAAGGGGCCCTTCCGATTTTATGGGGGAGCCCTGGGCTTCGTCGAACGAGGCGTAGAATCCTTGAAGAGGCTACTGAACATTGCAGGTGCCCAGTATCCCACCAAAACCAATATGGGGGCCTGAATAATTAGATTAGGGTTTTGGGGCCCGCGGTACTAAAATCATAATAAGGAACCCCTCCCCCCAAAAATAGCATAGGTAATGATTTAGGCCCCGATATTGTGGCGATAACAGTATGGTTCACAACTCATAGCTCCGGTATTTCTGTTGCTATCGCCGTTGAGGCGTGCCTCTGTTTGCTTTCGTTAGTCCTGTCCGCATCGATACGCATATTTATTCCGGTTGTGAGTAGGAGCGGGATCAGGATCAGTACAATTCTAGATTACTCTGAATTGCTGTCAGCTTTAATAATGTGTCTACTATGATTCCTGTGGTTTCCTGCCCTTGCCGTTGTCGCTGTGCTCTTGCAAGTCAAGGTAGTCGCGACGGACGTTGGGACTAAGCCCACAGTTCGGAAAATGGGAGTTTACGAAAACAAGGGGTACCTTATGTTGGGGTCCTTATAATAAGGATCCTACGTTTTAGGGTATTACATGGGGACCCTTTTCGAAAACCCCAAATGAGCCTCCATCGGTGTCTGGCTGAAGCGGTGTGGATCGTAGCCAAAACCTGGCAATACGAATCATAGCACCGAGAACGCCGATCACACCAAGAAAAAGCACGATGACAATATTTAGAAATACAGGAGCACCATCATAGTTTCCGTATTAAGGGTAACATGACTGTTACTTGTTTGTGCCCTTGATGCTGGTAGTAGTACTAGGACCAGAAGCAGCGCTAGGACCAGTACGAGTACTAGTACTAGGAGCAGCAGCAACACTTGTAACTGTGACCACGGATAGAATAGCAACCAACCACGTGAGGAGAAGGAAATTGTCGTGTGGACACGACAAGCGAACGCAACGTGCATCACGACCTGTGTTTATCAAGAGCCATGGCGCCCTTTGCCTACCTGAACAAGGCAGATGCAGATGAGGCCAGCAACGTAGGTTCCATTCATGCCGAGCGCTTGAATGTGTACAGCATGTATTGAGGAGGGCTGTATGTACTTCGCTTCAGGTTGCAACTGGCTACGAGTGTTGTCAGACCTCACTTCAAACAACCCTGATCTTCCAAGTTCTGCATAGAGGTAGAAGAGTGATTCATCATTCGCGGAGTGTTTAGCGCAACTGAGTGAAAGAAAAGCTACATGCAGTAGCGAAAGGTTGGCTGTCTTATCTAAGAGTGTTTCTTACTGCGTCCACTTAAAGTAAGTTCCACTCCTGAGATTTTGGCCTCACAGCACCGCCGGACTGCAGGTAGAAACCCAAAAAGCTTGGTACCTTCGTCGCCAGGGTGTGGACGTGTCAGATGACGGCCTCAGTGCTTCCTGCAGTGCGGACGACGCATGGCTGGGGCTTCGGGGTCGTCCTGGCGTGTTGAAAGGCGCCGTTGTCGACTGTTGGGAAGGCCAGCCTCTTAGGAATTTCCGGCGAGTCTGCTGGTGTCGACTGCTGAGGTGCCTACCAGTACGAAGTGGAGTTGAAGAACGACTGCTTGCTTCGTTTGGGGTGGGCAGCAGCCGCAGGGCGGCGAGCCCTGGGTACCGATGAGCGGTCCTTCGGTTTCGGGGGCACCGGGATGAAATCTAATGCCGGCCGCTTTGAGCCTCTTGCCTCACTCGGGGGGAGGTTCTGGAGGTGTGTGTGTGTGTGTTTGTTTGTCTCTGTGTGTGTATTTCTAGATTGGGTTAGATAGATCGATAGGTAGATAGATAGATAGTTAGATACATAGAGATAGATAGACAAATAAATAGATAGATAGATCATGGTACACTGGTAGTTCGATATATAGATCGGTAGATCGGATTGCACCGTGTCGCAATGGCAAGGAAGTACGGCGAGATGTTTGAAGGAATGCCAGGGGCTGTGATCACCTGCCTCCTGGACAGACGAGAGCCTCGACGTCACACGATCAGTGGCTTTGCTTGCGACTACTTAGAGGATCATGGGACTTAGTAAGTAGGGCAAGTAGGGTCATAATTAGGATAACTATACTCATAACCCCAATTAAGCCATGATCCTTTAAGTATAGCTGGAGGGCTGATGTTTTGCAGATATTGTTTGACTTGTCACGGCAACTCTGGCCAGAGTTCGCGCAATCGACTGAGGCTACTGCCTCAACGGCAAGAACCTCGGCGTCGCCTTTCGACTGCCTGCTTGGCTGGGAGAAGTGCCTCTGTACCCGGCCGTGTGCGGGCGCGAGGACTGGCAGGCGACCTGCCGGTTTCGCGACCTGCGCTTCCCGCACGGGGGATATCGAGACCTGGACGAGGCTTGCAGCCAGCACGTGGTGACCGACGACAACTCTGTCGACGCGGCCAGCGCCGCTGCTGCGGTCTTTGCAGCGGCCCCGTTCGTGGAAGAGAGGGAGCTGCGCCAGCTGGATGTGCCGAATGAGAACCTCATTGAACTGCGAAGCGAGGCAGAGGTGCCGATTAATGGCCAGGAGCTGAAGTCGTGGCTCGTGCAGGCAAGGGGGGGTGTCGTTGTCTGGCTTTGCTGTCGATACTTGAGGTTGCATAACTTGGGCGGGTTTGTGTAGATTAGTCTAGGATGCCCTTTGTGTGTTTAGCCTGTAATACGATAAGAAGTAAGAAACGACAAGGTTTGAATGTCGGTTCCATGGGTACTATACTAGTCTTATTCTGATTAGTTCTACGAGTACTACACCCTAAACCCTAAACCCTAAACCCTAAACCCTGAACTACTATGGAAACATGTGACAGCAGGAATATGGCATCAGCAGCGCAGACTTCCATGCGGAATCTGGGTTCTTGTTAAGGAGCTGGTTTTTAAGCTGCCCAAACAAGGGCATGTATAGAATCTGTGGTAAATAACATAGTCGTCTTAGTTTTGGTAACTTAAATTCAAAGTACTATTATTGTTATTATTGTTATACTTATTATTATTATTACTGTCACTATTATGGTAACTTAAGTTAAGTTCATTAACAAGAACCCAGGAATATTCGGACGACCAGTGCATGGCCGTCCTGGCCTTCCCGAGCCATCGGGTCTCCCGCAGCATGGCGAATGCACCGCCGCCGAAGATGCTGGTCCGGCTGAAGCAGCTCGGTTTAGGGTTTAGGGTTTAGGGTTTAGGATTTAGGGAGCTGGCCACAGCAAAGTAGCATGGAAGCCCAAATAATTACGAACAGTGTTCCTCGGGTCAGGGCTCTGTATTAAAATTATACCCTAAAGGAGCTCAAAACTCTATTCGAATTTTTGAGGCCCCTACCTTGGAGTCATAACCTTCTACCCTAAACCCTCAAAGCCTAACTATAGTAACTATTAACACTAGAAGGGGTTCTGTTACTGATCCGGCCCCCTACGGGACCTTCATCACCGGATTTCTGCTAATGTAGGGGCCTCAATTGCAGCCTCAATCATTGGACTAGGGTTTGGGGGTATGTTATAGTGTAGTTATACCAAGGAACCCCCAGTATAGGTAAGTATTCAGGCCGCTAGGTTAGATCAGTTTTTCTTTGAACGGTCCCTGGTGTCATAAGCCCCTATTGGTACCTCAACGGGGAACACCTCTTTGATACAGCCATGCGCATGCCTTCTACCAGGCATGAAATGGCCTACACATATAATATAAAGACCGGAACGCTAACCGCCTAAATCCTGTAAATCCTCATAGCCCTAAACCCTAAACTTTAGACCCTAAGCCCTCAACCCTAGATACTAAGCCATGAGCCGTAGAAGCGTAAGCATTTCAACTCCCCGGGGCTCAAACCCCAAGCTTCAACAGAAACCCTAGGAGAGGCGAAGTTAAAAGAATTCTGGGCCTCCAGTCCCTAAACCCAAAATCTTAGAACCTTAGACCCTAAACCCTAAACCCCAAACCCTCAGAATCTTGGGTTTAGGGTGTGGGATTTTGGGTTCGGGATCTCTTAATAAGGTCCCTCTGAAGAGAGCCAGAAGCAGGCTTAAGAAGGGTCACCTTTAAGGGGTCTCCCTTATACTACCTGGGAGGATTGAACCCCAAGATCCTAAACCCTAAACCTTAATCCTTGAATCCTTAATTCGATACACCCCAAACCCTGAACCCCATAGGGGCTCCTTTAAGGGATCCGTTCAAGGAAACCTATATGAGCCAAGGTCTGACTTCAGCGAGGAGGCGGAGGCCATTCTGGCCCTGCATCGCCCAAACAAGGGCGCGACCACGGACGCCGTCGCGCGGCGCCTGATCGCAGGCCTTGGAGTCTTGAAGGGCGAAACCATCGAACAACCATCTGCACTGTAGTATTTCAATAGCAACAAAAGCAATAGAATCATAACAATAATATTCATAATCATAGTGGCAGTATTAGCAATGGTGATGACACTCATTTCGAACAGCAAGAATGACACTCGAGTAGTCTTGTACGGATTTTGAACTTCTTGCAGGTCCCCATGCGCTCGTTTAGGCGCGAAGCTGTTCGATAAGGTACTCACGGAGTTTTGAGATAAACACATCAGCACAAAACCTAAGACTTTAAACCCTAAACCCTAAACCCTAAACCCCTAAACCCTAAACCCCTAAACCCGAAGACCCTGAGAGCTGAATGCTTACAGTTTCACCCTAGAGCAAAACAGCACCCTACTCCCTGGAACCCTGAAGGCCTCAAGGCCTAAAGCCGCAAAGGCCCCAAAATTTCAATCCCAGATAATGTAGGGGTTTAGGGTTTAGGGTTTAGGGTTTAGGGTTCCTTAGTATAATTATAGTATAATGGACCCTAAACCCCTATTCTAATTATGAAGGCCCCCACATTATCCCTCCACCCCCCCCCTCCCCCCCAACAAAAAAG